TGTTTTTTATGAAAATAAAACTTTGCGTTGAACAAAAGTAGATTTTTGTTTTTATATGCTGTCAATTATAGTTCTTAGAAAATCACACTAGCAAAAGGCAGTAGTCATTCCCGCAGGTTTCGCGCTTACACCAAAAGCGCGGACCACCACTGATCTATATTAGTGGAGCGCACAAGCCGCGCTCAGTCTCAAACAGCTTGTGAGCCACAAATACCAAAATGAGTGGCTAACTGCGCTAAAACGTTCAAATACATACAAAATTATGTCACGATGCCCGTCTTGGCGAGTATCCAGGTAAACATTTAGTTTTAGAACGTTAAATAGTTGAGAAAGAGAACTCATGTGTAACAGTATATTGGGTCCGTGGATAAACTCTTAAAGGGACCGCAGACCAATATTCCTGCTGCTGTCTGTCATGTTAATCAAAGAACAAAAGACAAAGAAAATCACTTTCTGCTCTTGACTGAATACGATTTATAACTTTAATGGTAAGCATAAATCTGTATTTAATTTTTACAATGAAGGCTACAGAAATTAAAGTAATCAAATGTAAAATATAAAACTTTTTATTTATATAAAAATAAAAAACTGGATGTGTTATTTTATGTTTGATTACTTTAATTTCTGTAGTATTTCTTACCTGAATAAAATCTTACTTAACCTGAAAAACTTAGTTTCATAGCTCTCTTTATTCTATTGCATTTATTTGTGCTGTTGTTTGCAATTTTTTATTTGTTCTTATTTTATTACTGACTTTTTACTTGTTTTTTATGAAAATAAAACTTTGCGTTGAACAAAAGTAGATTTTTGTTTTTATATGCTGTCAATTATAGTTCTTAGAAAATCACACTAGCAAAAGGCAGATCACACTAACAAAAAAATCGGAATCGGCCAAGAAAATTGCAATCGGTGCATCTCTACTTGTGACATAAACGCACATATTAACCCCATCACTTTATTTAGCATTCATGTAAACACTACGTTCGGATTCGTCAATCAGAATGAATTCATTCCGATGGAAGCAGAAAGTGTCCATGTAAACGTAGCTACTGTTAGAGTAGCCGAATTCCACGGGAAAACCGCGGACTTGGCAACACTGGTTGTTTTAGACACCACTGACATTCATTGTATGGACAAAAACAGTTGTATCTTCTTTATGTTCCACCGAAGAAAAACACAGTTTTGGAAAGACATGAGGATGAGTAAATGATGACAGAATTAAAAATTTTGGGGTGAACTATCCCTTTAGCTCTGTCTGTAATAACTGGGGGAGACGTTGTTTGGTTTGGTAGCATTGTATTGATTTCTCCTGAGGATGAATCACTTCTGCTTGTATTATTCTGAAGTCGTTATAGATAAAATACATGGTATTGTAGTACATCCATCCTCACTTAACAAACTTCTGTGAAAGAAAACAACATTTTGTCAGAAAAGATTTAGCTTTACCAAGCAAGCAGTTATATAGACACATCCCGTTCCATCTAAAGTTCCTCCAGCCCTGTGGAGAATTTAACTCCACTGTGTCATATCAGATCAGACCAGAATCGCCTGAAGACTGCGTGAAGATTTGGTGTAGTCATCACTCACCCTGCTGTGGGATGTGTCTTGTTTGTAGGAACAGCAGGACTGATTGGAGGTCCCACAGAGAGATAGGTCTGATGAATGCGATTGGTCTGCAGCCACGACATCCTGCCCCCACTGTAATTCCACGGGAAAACCGCGGACTTGGCAACACTGGTTGTTTTAGACACCACTGACTTTCATTGTATGGACAAAAACAGTTGTATCTTCTTTATGTTCCACCGAAGAAAAACACAGTTTTTGAGTAAATGATGACAGAATTAAAAATTTTGGGGTGAACTATCCCTTTAGCTCTGTCTGTAATAACTGGGGGAGACGTTGTTTGGTTTGGTAGCATTGTATTGATTTCTCCTGAGGATGAATCACTTCTGCTTGTATTATTCTGAAGTCGTTATAGATAAAATACATGGTATTGTAGTACATCCATCCTCACTTAACAAACTTCTGTGAAAGAAAACAACATTTTGTCAGAAAAGATTTAGCTTTACCAAGCAAGCAGTTATATAGACACATCCCGTTCCATCTAAAGTTCCTCCAGCCCTGTGGAGAATTTAACTCCACTGTGTCATATCAGATCAGACCAGAATCGCCTGAAGACTGCGTGAAGATTTGGTGTAGTCATCACTCACCCTGCTGTGGGATGTGTCTTGTTTGTAGGAACAGCAGGACTGATTGGAGGTCCCACAGAGAGATAGGTCTGATGAATGCGATTGGTCTGCAGCCACGACATCCTGCCCCCACTGTTACATCACAGGGGACGCAGACACAGACTCTGCGGTTACAGAATGCAGAGACACAAACAGACCGTGACCTTCCAGATGAACCTCAGCTGCCCAGCACTTCTCAGGGGTCACAGGTTACTGATGGTAAGACACTCTCTGTGAGTCAGAATATCATTACTGAGCTCAGGTGAGGTTTGTCCTTGAGATCAAAAGACAAACCTTGGTTAGTTTTACATCTCTTTGCTTCAACATATTGGCTGCTTCTGCTGAAATTTTCTCTATTAACAAAACATTCTTTTTATCCTTTAGACAGGATCACTAATCTGAATAAATTTAGTCTGAGTGCATGTTCCGGTTTCAGTATTTATACTGTATGCCTTAAACTTTGCAGTCTGATGACAATATCTGTTTACATGTGCCACACATGTATTCAGTGCATGCAAAAGAGTGGCATTTAGTGTTACCATAGCAACAAGAAGCTCTCAGTGCTCCTGTCAGAGATCTTTGCAACAACTTTTATTTCCTTTTTTTAAGTCGTTGTTTCATACTTTTCATCCCTCTTGTCTCCTAACAATCTTTTTATTTTTCAGAATGTTAAAAAGGCAAAGTCTCCAACACAGTCGTTTCTGTTAACTAAAACTAAAGCTGTTTTTATTCAATGAAATATAGGTGAAATAAATTAAAATCTAAATATTACTTATAATTACTTATATAAGCTACATATTTAAAGGGGTCATATGATGTTGCTAAAAAGAACATTATTTTGTGTATTTGGTGTAATGAAATGTGTTTATGCGGTTTAAGCTTAAAAAAACATTATTTTTCACATACTGTACATTATTGTTTCTCCTCTATGCCCCGTCTTTCTGAAACGCGTAAATTTTTACAAAGCTCATCAGTCTGAAAAGCGAGGTGTGCTCTGATTGGCCAGCTATCCAGTGCATTGTGATTGGCCGAGTACCTCAAGCGTGTGATGGAAATGTTACGCCCCTACCATATTGTGATTAGAGATGTTCCGATACCCTTTTTCCCTTCCCGATTCCGATACCTGGGCTCAGGGTATTGGCCAATACCGAGTACTGATCCGATACCTGGGTGTGTATCTGTATATACAGCTGTATGTACTACTAGCCCTGTATGAATTGATAGAATTATTTTATTGTGTGCTTCAGACTTATCCCTTAAAAAAACATGAACAAATACATACAGTGAACTAGAGTATTTTTATTATCTGACATACATTTGACAGTAATATGATTTATTTTTCTTAAGTGAAAAAGAACTTCAAATGCAGCCACAAATCTAACACTGTAAACTGAAAAGGTATTTTAGTTTTACAATATAACTGTATAAAAAACAGTGCAACAAATAAATCTAAGAATATAAAAAAATTAAATATGAATAATATAAGAAAATAATCTCTTTAAAACTTAAAGTCCAGAAACTATTTTGTTAAATAAAAGGCATTTCAGTTTTAAATACAAAGTACAAAAAAGTGCAACAGTAACTTATACTCAATCTAAGTAGTTCTTTAAAAAAAACACTAAGTGCAGCCACAATGTAGTGAAATAAGAGAGTTGAGTAATAGAGTACAAAAATAAACCTCAACTGAACAAGTTAAGATTCAGCAAGAGCAGTATTAAACCCAGATTGAAAATATACATATTTCAAGTAACTTAAACTAGGTTACACACTGCTGTGGGATCTTAGTATTGCTCACAATTTCAATAACAATGGCAAGTTCTTTTTCAGGAAAATGAGCATTTCTGCTCTTTCTCCTCCTAGCCTGTTTCTCTTTGCATCCACAATGTTAGATGCTGTGCTGAACAGTCTCTCGATGTCCACACTGGTACCAGGGGCGCAGAGAAACTTTGCAGCAGTGGCAGCCAGAGTGGGAAACCAAACTTGGTTGACTGCCCAGTACTGGAATGGGCTGTCTGAGTGTGAGATGGTTTGCTCCATCACATATGTCTGAAGTTGAACATGTGTGCTTGAACCATGTTCCTCATCATGCTCCTGCAGGATTTCCTCAAACAGGCCCTTCAAGCTACTCTCAATTTTGCTGCTGCTGCCACCTACCTGCACTTCCAATCGTGCAGTTTTCTGGGGTTTTCTGCTATTGTCTCTGCTACAGCTGTGGTGGTCATTTTCAGTGACTTCTCAATCTTCATCTCTATTGTCAGAGCATCCTTTGCATGCTTGATGTTGTCTGCACTTGAGAAGTATCTGAAAGAAACAATAATTAAAAACAATAAATAAATGTAACAAATAAATAACCTCCTCCAAAGTAGCCTTAGACTTAATGCATCAGTAATTATTAAATTATTAGGAGCAAAACGTTTTTGAAAATAGCATTTATACTGTACCTTTTAAAATAATACATAACAAGTGAACTAATATACTCAATGTGGCAATGACAATAATCAATATGGACATGAAGAAAAATTTTAATAGACGTACCTGTCTTTGAAACGTGGATCCAAGAGAGTTGCAACTGAATACAAGGGATCTTCCTCGATGGTTGCGAATCGTTTTTTGACGGCCTCAAGAAGGGTAGTTTTCATTGTTCTTATACCGGTGTCCTCCTGGCTCTCCCCGAGCAAGTAGCCGTTTTAGAACTGTAACTGAGGGGATGACTTCCGCTACAGATGAGGTGGAGGAGCTAATCTGTTTGGTCAGTTCCTCAAATGGTGCCAAAACAGTGACAGTTTTTTCCAGCAAAGCCCACTGGTTGGCTGTCAATGTGGCTGGCAGGTCATGATCAGCTCCGTATGCTGAAATCGGCTGCTTCTGCTCAAGTAAACTCTCTACCATATAAAAAGTACTTTTCCACCTTGTCGCCACATCTTGGTGCAAACGTTTGTTGGGCATTTTTAGATCCCTCTGAATATCCTCCAGGCACATTGTGGCCAATGGTGAGTGTTTGAAATGGCCAATTATCTTCCTACAGTTCGCCAGAGCATTGTTTGTATTTCTTCTACGCTGCTCTAAATAGTGGTTGCTTGTGGCAACAAAGCACAACTTCCTGTGTTTGCATTCTGAGCAGCGAAGAAGAATTGATTTCCGATTTGCAGCGTTAAGCAAAGCTAGCGGGCGCATAACTAGGTCTTGTTTAAGAAAATGGTATTGGATTGGTAAATGGGTTGAAGTACTCGCCGATACCGATGGCAGAATTGTTTGTGGTATCGGCGGAATTTCCGATACTAGTATCGGAATCGGAACAACCCTAACTTTTAGTCTTTGCAACTTTACAGATCTTCTTTATGCACCAAGAGCTTGTAACACTCCAAAGAGAAAGGAAAAATTTAAATCGCATCATATGACCGCTTTAAAAAAATTATAAAGAAATATTAAAATATAATATAAAAGAAATATTTAAAAAGGTAAAAAAAAATTACAAAAGCACATAATTGCTAAAACAATTAAAATGAAAACTGAAAATATATTTTTAAAAATACTATACTTTATAAATAACACTGCTGCACCAATGCTTCACAGCCCCCACCATGTTTATTTTTGTGGTGCAAATATAAATCCACATTTTTGAATCCGACTATACAAATTGCCTGGTTTACATGTCAGTTATCTGATTATTTAGGCTTATTCTTTTGGATCATGCACAGTCAGATTATTTGTTTTCGTTTGAGGTGTTTGCATAATGATTTTTCAGTGAGGTATCACTTACATTTATGGAGTATTAGGCTTCATGTAAACATAGCTCCCATTTGGTTTTGTAATATTTGTTATTCTGTGGCCTTTAGTGAGAAATTTGAGAGGTGAAAAGAGAATATTGTGTGCCGCATTTTGTCTTTTTATGCTAATGGTAATTACAGGGGATAGGAGAGGCCACTCCACTGGGCACCCACCAGCCGAATCTCTTAAGTTAATGTGTGTGTAGTATTGCTCTCATGTTTAATGGCGGTTAGCTTCAGAGAGAGCATTCATGCCAGAAAATACTGCATTGCATCTCTCTTTCCTGGTACCAGCCATATTCTATCCTCAGCCCAGCCTCCATTACCCATCAGCCCACTTTAGCTCTCTGCTCTAATTACTCTTATGTGTCGCTTTTAGCAGCACACCAAACAGATGAATAAGCATGTCTCGATGAAGCTTAACTATTTTGAGGTCCCAGATATAAATCGCAGAAATAAGCAGAGCGACAGATTTAACCCAGCTGACTAGGGATGTAACGATTCACTCAACTCACGATTCGATTCGATTCACGACTTTATTTTATTTTTTACAAAATGAGATTTAAGACAAATTATAAATTAAATGTGTCCTTTTATTATTGCTTGGACAAAATGCTAAATATCTGCATGAAACAGCGGATGAGCTGAATGAGACGCAGATTCACTCTCTGCCAGCAGGTGGTGCTTAAAGCGTTTCCTTGGTTTCCGCGGTAAACAAAGCAGTGCTGCACTTATGAACTTTAATATGCATTATATGGATGGGCAATACCTCTTATTTTATTCTCAATCCGATACCGATATTTTCAAGCCCAGTATCCTCGATATCGATACCTATAAACTAAATTGATCTTTTAAATTATTAAAATAATATAATCAGTAATTATACTCACTTAATATTAGATTTTAACTCCACGTTTTTTAACATTTCATAGGCCTTTTTTGTTTACACTGTCAAAAATAAAATATCCTATAATTGTATTTTAGCCCTTTACTGGGGCAGTAACCTCAAAGGTGCAACTATACCTCTAAAAGGGAGCATATTAGTACCATACAAGTATG